CAGAAACCTCAACAACATCTGCTGAAGTATCAACAACGGAAACAGAAACCTCAACAACATCTGCTGAAGTATCAACAACGGAAACAGAAACCTCAACAACATCTGCTGAAGTATCAACAACGGAAACAGAAACCTCAATAACATCTGCTGAAGTATCAACAACGGAAACAGAAACCTCAACAACATCTGCTGAAGTATCAACAACGGAAACAGAAACCTCAACAACATCTGCTGAAGTATCAACAACGGAAGCAGAAACCTCAACAACATCTGCTGAAGTATCAACAACGGAAACAGAAACCTCAACAACGGGAGCTAAAGTATCAACAACGGAAACAGAAACCTCAATAACATCTGCTGAAGTATCAACAGCGCAAACAGAAACCTCAATAACATCTGCTGAAGTATCAACAGCGCAAACAGAAACCTCAACAACGGGAGCTAAAGTATCAACAACGGAAACAGAAACCTCAACAACATCTGCTGAAGTATCAACAACGGAAACAGAAACCTCAACAACATCTGCTGAAGTATCAACAACGGAAACAGAAACCTCAACAACGGGAGCTAAAGTATCAACAACGGAAACAGAAACCTCAACAACATCTGCTGAAGTATCAACAACGGAAACAGAAACCTCAACAACGGGAGCTAAAGTATCAACAGCGGAAACAGAAGCCTCAACAACGGGAGCTAAAGTATCAACAACGGACACAGAAACCTCAACAACGGGAGCTAAAGTATCAACAGCGGAAACAGAAGCCTCAACAACGGGAGCTAAAGTATCAGCAACGGAAACAGATGTTGGGAGTATGGCAGGTGAGTTGTTGTTTTTTTGCTCTCAATATTGTAAATATTTTTTATTTTTTTTTAACGTTACCGGTACTGTAATTATTTATAGAATCTTTTCCCCCTTTTTTATATTTAAACCCGCTTTTCAGTGCATCCTAGTTGCTGTTCATGTGGTTTTAGTATTGGGTGACCCAATCATGAACTGGAAAATACGGGACACGCCCGAGGAGGGTTTGGTGGGGGGGGGGGGGGGATATCCCCCCGCTAAAGAGGGGTCCGGGGGGCCTCGGCCGGAAACTGTTTATTAAAACATGCTCATTTGAACTAGTTTGAGACCTAGAAATCTTTTTAATTGTACCTTCACTTTTGTCATTTAATTTAAACTCTGAGGCATATCATCAGCGAAAATAATATTTTCGCAGTAAATACTTATTTCTTTATGTATACAAGATCTACCGCAGGGACACTGGTTGACTCAGTGTCGGCAGAGTGGTGGAGGGGGGGGAACGGTGCAGCGATCACGCGAGCCCACATTACTACTGCCACTGGCTACACAGCTTGCCAAAATATTACTTGAAGTTATTAGGAGGTTTTAGTGATTTGAAAATGTGTTTGTTTTTAGAAACGGGACATTTAGGCGTCCCGAGAGACTTTTTCGGGACACCGGGTACGATCGGGAAATAACGGGACAATCCCGCTCCTTCACGGGACGTTTGGTCCCCCTTCTTTGATAGATCTTAAATATACAAGGTGACAATGTTCACCGACTCTCAGTCCTTTATTTAGAATCAACTTTTAATGGGTGAGCACTTTAAGCCTATACTCAATGTCTTACCAGTTGAATTCCTTGGAGCAGCAACGGAGCACCTGCGGAGATGCTCTAGGGGAGCCCTGAGGTCTGCGGGGCTTCGCGGAGCACAGGATGGGGAACAACTGTCCTTAGTTGTTGTTTTTTTGACCCACCATTGGGATCTTATTTTTCTGTCATTCCCACAGCTAACGAAAAGCTTATCATTGGCCTGTCAGTCGGCATCCCACTGTTTGCCCTGGTCTTTCTCGGCACAGGCATTCTCGTGGTCATCTGCAGGAAGAAATCGTCAGGGACTTCGATGACGTCATGGGATGACTATTTAAAGTGAGTGGTTTTATAGAGACTTTGAAAAAATATGTTACTCTCTAAACTAAACCGTTAAAATCATCAGTCGTTAGATTTAGCTTGTGTTAAATTATCTAGAATCTAACAATGGTGATGTTGTAGGTTATGGTAATAAGGAGGAGAGACTGCCATCAGGTTAGGTAAAAGGAAGTGAGCGAAAGAAAGTATGGGTGAACCTGAAAAAAACAACAACTAAAGATGCAACAAAACAACGAACGTGTCGGCAAGAAGCCTTCATCGGCGCACACACAAAAGTAAAAACAAAATAAAAAACAATAACACTTAGCTGCATTGCAGTATCCGAGAGGACAGCAAGAGGAATGTGACACCATATAAGTAGGATATAATAACATATTTGTTTGACTCAATCGTATACACAAGTGAGTTGTTGTTTTTTTCAGTGATGAATTGATAGGTAAATTATTATGCAGTACTAAGTAAGCAAGTTATATAAAATATGTTTTTAAAAATATTAACCGAAGAAAGATATAATGTTCAGTAATTCAACTTCAATGGTGATAGAGCTTCTTATGGACTGAGTCCATTGATTGACCACCACATCAGAACCCCTGTCTCGAGACTCAACGTTAAAATCTATCGTGTCCTTAAGCATTCGTTTTCTCAATTTATGTGTCTATTTATTTTGGATTGGATAAGATTGGTGTTTTTTTCCCTTATCAGCACAATGCCAAAAGGTTACATCAGAGAAGGTGAGGGTGTCAACACTGGAGCAGCCGATATGTCCACCGGGTCAGGTTATCAGAATACTAACGGCTCTAAGACGCCACCCAATGAATACGAGCCGATGTTTGGAAGTGAAAGTAAAGATAATTTAACCAAAGGTCAGTTTTAAAGGAAGGTCATTTTTCAATGGCCTTTTTTTTTAAAGGGATTCTGTATCTGTGATCATGTTCGGCAATATCATTTGAGACACAAGTACAGAGAGTTCATTTTAGATACATGTATAGATCTATCATTTGAGACACATTGTACAGGCCTAATAATTGAGACACGTTTTACAGGCATATCATCTGAGACACTTTGTACAGACCTATTATTTGAGACACAAGTAAAGATATATCCTTTGAGACACATTGTACAGATGTATCATTTGAGACACATTGTACAGGCCATTTATCTGAGACGCATGTATGAGACACATTGTGTGAGACACATTGTGCAGACCTATCATTGAGACACATTGTGCGGACCTATCATTTGAGACACATGGTGCAGACCTATCTTTTGAGACTCTGTGTCATCTAACACACATCCTACAGACCTATCAATTGATGCACATGTACAGACGTATCACATTGTGAGACCATCCAGCCCTCGATTAAGATTGCATTGTCTAGAGCAAAAAGCGTCAGACCACCCCCCCCCCCACATCCGTACATCAAATTCTTTGTTTAACTTGCCCAGACTTTAGTTAACTCCATGGTGGATTGTATCAGATATGTTTACTGTGACAGGCCAATCTCGATTTTTTAAATAAAATGTTGTTGTTGTTGTTTTACGATAGACACTACAGGACCTGATCAAATATGACCTATGCAACGAATTGTTGAAACATTTCACAATGTAAAATCTGTTTTATTTCGTTCAAACCACAGGTCCCCAACCAGCCAACTTTTCCTGGGATTTCCTAGATAGGGCATATCCCAACAGGGAGGTAAGTACAATCACAAAGGGGCCACTATTAGTGTGCTGAAACACATGTCATCATTTTGAAAATAAACATTTAAAAAAATCGTTCCTCTGATTGTCAAACTTATGCCGCCAACATTTTATCACGTATTATATAAACTGGTAGCTAAATCATGGTTAGGTCGAATGTTTTATTTTTAATTATTAAAATTGGTAGCTAAAACTAAATCATGGTTAATGGTTAGGTCGAATGTTTTATTTTTAATTATTAAAATTGGTAACTAAATCATGATTAGGACAATGTCAAATAATTAATTATTAAAATTGGTAGCTAAATCATGGTTTGGACAATGTTAAATATTTAATAATTACAATTTGTAACTAAATCATGATTAGGACAATGTCATATATATATTTAATTATTCAAATTTTTTACAAAATCATGGTTTGGACAATAATTGTTTATTTTTTTATGTGCCGACGAGATCTTAAATTGGGTTCCAAATGTTCACCATTATAATATTGATCAGAAAATAAGGAGCCACCGCATATGTTCTACTTACAGTCAAGCTATGTCGCTGAAACTAGGCACATAGACTCGCCGCCGATGACAACACATTCTATCAAATTTTTTAACAACAAAAACACACCCCATACACATGTGCTACACATTGAAACTATTTATAGTGTGTGACGTCATGAAATGAAAACAAAGACCAAAATATAAAATAGCACAGCGAAACAAATATTAATATTTTCTTAATAAATGTCATTTGTTTCTATATCGTTACAGACATTTAAGATTCAAAGACCCAAATTGACTTAGTAAGCATAATTTATAATCTCATTAAAAACGTACATGTATTTATAAACAATGACCTTTGCATTATATAAATAATTGACCTTATTGACAAAATAAATGTATTAATTATAAGTATAAGGCATTAAAAAAAAGTGTATATCAATTATTATTACACAACTGTTAACATACTTTTTTAAAAAATCATATAATTTCATACTTTTTTATTTTTTTATTAGTTTTAGAAGTCCAAATTAGAACCTTTTATATAGACCAGATTCCATAGTTTACGAAGCTGTGGTAGTGGAAGGTATCTTTGTATTTCTTCCAAATTTGTAAACGAGAGCTTTTTAAAAAAATATATTTTATCAACCAGATACACTAAGTAAGACTATTTAAAATAATGTAATTACCAATGCATTTATTTTCCCCCCATTTCAGAAGCTCTCTATCCATAGACGTAGCTCCGGTCATATTTTTTTTTTTCACAAACAACGTCTCAAGCAACGGTACTATTTATAGCCTCTTCGGGACGTCCCCGTCAAACAGCAGCCGAAGAACTGTGAATGGTTCATATGACTTGGAAGTGTTCACCTCAATTTGTTTATTTTGATGAGTTTTTTTTAATGTTTGTGCAATTAATTGTTCTTAAATTATTTCAGGTGGCTGGTCCACTACAAAATTGTTATTTGTCATTATTCCAAATAGTATTAAACTATAAATTGATAAAGTTCTTGATTCTGAAGCTAGAACCAATCAGTGAATCAGCGCGCTCTCTCGACAAAACAAATTAGTTAAGGGAATGTAATAAATGGAATCAGATCCACAATGAATGGAAGGAATTTCAGGAGTTTAAGCAGCATTGACAACTTTAAAAAAAAAAAGATTCTAACTTCTTTCTGGAAAATACTGACTTGTTGAAGACGATTTTCTAGTTGAAGTCATCCTATCAAGATGTAGCCTACTTCTTTTCAGTAGAAAGTTCGAGCTGTCAGCGTGGTAACCACGCAACCACTGCTAAATGTGTAGGCGATTGTCAGGAGTGGTGGACAGTAAGCGCCCCCCCCCCCACGAACATAAAGACGAGAAATTTAGAGTCCATCAGTCGGCTTGAAAATATAAAAAAAAAAAGGAAAATCACTGGCTGCAGGAGCTCTGCTTACAAAAAACCACTCATTTAGAGAGTATAGCTTTGAGTGACATGAACTAGAAAAACATCGAGGTATATCTTACACAAGTTGCCTTGATATCCCATTGCTCCAGACACTGAAATTCCGTGAAGTGACGTTGCAAGGGTTAGTGTACAAAAAGCCCAATGCCGATGGTGCCACTCGGGATGAATCGCCCCCTTCTCCCTCCCCCCCCCTTTTTTTTCTCCTTAAGCCGCTGATTCCGAGTACACAATAAGATGACAAGGTCAATTTCTTGACAGGGTTGTGATGCTTTCTAGATGTGATCCACTGTTGGAATACCACCTTATGGGATGAAAGAGGATCTCCCAAGGGCGACAACACCCCGTAGTGGCGTCAGTGGTTGTACTGGCGTGCCTTGTTTTTGTGACGCCTAAATGCTGTCACCGAATGCTGCCAGAGTCACGTCACGGTAACAAAATCCTACGCTAACACACAATACAGGATCTTGCTGTTGTGGGGATCTGGACATGTTAAAAATGAAATTTAAAAAATGGTTTCTTCTTATTAAAGAGCCTTCGGGAAGAAGTGAACAAATGTAAGGAGTTGGCTCTGTAATCGGGAGACTGGTATTCATGGAGTTGAATTTACGCAGTCAACACCAAATAAATACTATCTGTAATTTCATGGGGTGGAGTACAGAAAAGATACACAGATGGTCACCGTCAGCTACTTTCTGACGGAATTATTTTAAATTGTTAATTATTTTTTTTTAATTCACTTTTTTTTTATAATGTTTTTTTTTTTAATGTATTTTTTGTGTATACTTATATAAAATATCGCCATGAAATATATTGTATTATTCTCATAATTCTTATGGTCAGTCAATGGACTTGATTTATTATAATTCTTTTAATGTGGCTATAAATAAATTTAAATACAAAATAAACACAACTTGCCAACTCACCTGGTCTTTATTATTTTTGTTCTAAAGAACTTGTGGTTTTTATTATTATTTTTTTTCCCAAGTTGTACTTTTTCGAATAAGTGAAATGCGTTTTTAAAAATAAGAGTTATTAAATAAATATAAAAACAAGCACAATAACGCATACCACATATCCATACGCCTGACCTCTCAGTGTTGACCTGCAGCACTCAGTACAGTCGGCTGCGGGATCAGAGAGTACATTCAGATGTGGTCAGGCTCACGGAAAAGTGCTTTGAACGGCCACGAAAGTAGTTCAGGGTGATTGTCTTGTAGAGTTCAATTGTTTCTTGCGCTGAGAAAAATAAGTACAGTAGTATTTGATTTCGTGGTTAATTGCCCCCAATCACTAGAGCATTGAAATTATTTATCTTTGATTTGTATCATTTTTTAAAACAAAATAAATATTTATATATTTTAGGAGGTTTAAAAACGTAGTTCCAGAGCAAGTAATATGTATTACCTAGGCGATGCACAGTGCCGTTGGACTCAGTCTCCCTCCTGCCCCCCCCCCTTTTCCGGCCACCCACCCAAATTACTACCTCGTTTTTTTAAAATGTGATGCTACCACACACATTTCTGAAACGACTCCCCTAAAACCATACACCCAGCCCATCTCTCAGCTCACACCCCTCCCCCTCAGCTTCCAAACTCAATCACACCCCAAGTCCAATCTTCTAATCCTACTTTATTTATCTGCCCTGTCCCCTAAATTATCTGTCAATGTGTCACCCTTTTTAACGTGTCATAAATTACGTCAAATTAGGGGGATCCCCTAAGCTGAAAAAAAAAAACCAAAAAACAAAACAAAACAAAACAAAACAAAACAAAAAAACAAAGAAAGAAACAATAGAGAAAAAACAACAAAATAAATAATATAAAATAATAATTAACATTTTAAAAATCAATTATTTAAAAAAAAATTAATTCAATTTAGTAATTCAGTGAATCAAAGAGGGTCGTTTTAAATATTGCATACAAATTATTTATTTATTTAGGCATTTTTATATAGCGCTTTCCATAAAGCTCTAAGCGCTTTATAATTATTAAAAACATGTAAACTAAGTAAAATAAAAATGAGACACTAGGATAGTAACTACTATACTATAGAAACAATGAAAATGGCTATAAAACGAGGACACTTTGGCACGTTTTGGCCTATACTACAGGATCAACCCAAGACAGAAAATGAGGCAGGGCAGGAGGGTGCATCACAGGTCATAGGCGCACCTAAACAGATGAGTTTTAAGGGACTTTTTGAAAATGGACGAGGTTTCACAATGACGGATATGGAAGGGGAGCTGGTTCCAGAACGGGGTACACTAATTAAACTCTATCGCTTACGAAAGAGTATCCATTTCCAAGCGAAGTTAATGTAAACCTATCATCTAGACATCGCGAATCAATAATAATTGATCGTGTCCATGATAAATTGCATCAAAACATTTCAGGACCACAACAGTTTTAGGTCAATTTTATTCGATTGTCTATCGTCTAACAACTGGACGAGGACACCTGGGGTCATGAAGTCGTGGCTTTATATGTCTGTGGGTGCCCAGAGGGCTGATGAGACCAACTGTGGTGCAGAATTATCGTTTGTGTTAGGTGAAAGGGATAATCTATCGTACATCTGAAAGCGCATTGGTGACCTGAGCTTTTCTAGATTGACTCTTAAGTTCTGAAGCAGTTGTTCTTGGGGCTTCTTGCAGGAATCCTTCGTGTGCATGGGAGTGTCACAACACTCGATACTTTGCTATATGCTTCACCAACTTTATGTGTGTCTTTGAAGATATTCTTTCCTCTTTTTTTTTCTGACGCAAAGAAAAAAAAATTATTTGTTTTCTTTCCCCCATTAAACTCAAGCCAAGTCTTTTTTCAACACTAACCCTCATTCAGAACACTATCCCCTTAATCACAACTCACAACACTACCCACTCAATTACAACACTACCCGCTAAATAACAACACTACCCCCTCATTCACATCACTCCCCTCTCCTTACAACATTACCTCTTTTATCACAACGTTACCCCCCTTGTCTTACCCTGCACTATGCCCATGCTGTTCAAATTACATCATCTTACATCGCTATGCTGCATACTGTGCATCTTAAATGGAAATTTCAACTTGTTAACCTGCTGGTCTGGTTAGTTTTGTGTACTTTGGAGCGCATGCATTGGCCGCTAACGAAGTGGCCAAAATTAAATAACCTCATGTCTGAAATCATCCCGGATTTTTCTTCTTTTCCGACGACCTTGTCCTTTAAATCCGGTTTCAAAAGCAGATACGCAATGCAGTGTCATTGATATCTTTAATGTCTGGCCTAACTTGGGCGTCCATAAGGACAAGATTAGGACTTGGGTCTTCACCAGCCAGCTCTTGGAAAGCCTTATGATGAGCCAAAAGTTAAAGTCGATGGCGGAAGACTTGGAAGCTTACTGCAACAAAGCGTCATCACAGAAAAAGCCAGGGCAAGCTTTGAAAAGATGCCCCAGAGATGTCTTTAGGGGGGGGTGTGATTCTGTGCCATGTGCTGCCTTATGCAGTGGGCGTACCTTACTGCAAAGTGTGTGGGCTTTTTAAAAGATGGCGGGCGCACGTTAGGGCGTTTGCCCCAGGCTGTGTTTAGTCAAGGCACGCCACAGAGTCTGTGCATGATAAATGTGGATAGGGCACCAAAACAATGCCCGAGAGCTGAACCACTTTCATGCAACGAGCGTCATACAATGTGACTCAGACAACGTGACTCAATGCAACGTGACTCATACAACGTGACTCAGACAACGCGACTCATACAACGTGACTCATGCAACGTGACTCAATACAATGTGACTCATACAACGTGACTCAGACAACGGGATTCAGACAACGTGAATCAGACAACGTGACTCAGACAATGAGACTCATACAACGTGACTCACACAACGAGACTCAGACAACTAGACTCAGACAACGTGACACATACAACGTGACTCATGCAACGTGACTCATACAACGTGACTCATACAACGTGTCTCATACAACGTGACTCATACAGCGTGATTCAGATAATGAGACTCGGACAGCGAGACTCAGACAACGTGACTCAGAGAACGTGATTCAGACAACGTGACTCAGACAGCGAGACTCGGACAGCGAGACTCAGACAACGTGACTTATACAGGGTGATTCAGACAACGTGACTCATACAACGAGACTCAACACCAGATAGCAGAAGGTCCCTGACACCTAAGGTCTCGCCCAGGCAGGTCCACAACCCTCCACCCCCCTCCCCTTTAAAGCTTCTCTACTCTCTACTCTGCTGATGCGATCCCAGTTCCCCTGTGTTGATCGCGCTACGCGCCTGTCACATCTCCGATTGCCTAAGACATAACTTTATGGCAAACACGGCCACCGGTTTGACTGTTTTACGAGCACGAACCGAACACAGACGAGTAGCTTACTTAGAATCCAACTCAGTAACGAAACTGGTAGACACTAAGAATGTCTTTACTTCCTTCTGTTTTCTTTTATGGCCGTTACAATATAAAGATATTTGAACCTCAATAAAAAAAATGTTATATTTTTTAGTATTCGCAAAAAATCAGCTCCTTCAGAGTTTGCCTGTAAAGTTGTATTGCGGCAATAAAATGTAGCAACAGTTTAACTTTAACGGATCTCAAAATGAGATGCATGGCGTATTTATAATTTTGTCAACACCTCTTACGGTAAATTGATTAAAGGATGTCCCTTTTTTCCAACAATTTAAAACTCATTTATAGAGCACCTAAACCAAGTCATTTAGTGTAGGCTTTGTCGGGATCAGACACATTTATTCAACACAGTCAGTGAACATTTTGTTTCCAAGATATTATTGAGCTTTGTTTTTGCCAACATCTTTTTTTTTTTAAAGAAAAAACCGTTTTGAAAATCGTATACATCAATGCAGGGTCAAGCTCAAGCAAATTGGCACCTCGGTCGTAACCTGAAAATGCCACCCCCCTCCCCCTCAATGTATGAAAAACGTGTCACCAGGGGCGTCTGGTAAAACTACGATTATGGCGCCACCTGTCTCTGTGAAGAACATTGGATGTTATCATTTAACTCATTTTAAATGTTATTTCTATGGACGGTTTTGGCGCCCCCTGATTTTTCCCCCTTGGGCAAGTGTTCCCTTCACCCTCCGGCCCTGCCTCCATGTATTACGTTATCAATAAAAAGGGTGTCTACGTTTTGGGCACCCTGCCTTCATTTCTCTCATGGTAAGTCAAATGACGATTTCGGTCGGCGTTGCATTGTGCTCCCAAGCAATTCCTGGGTTCTAAGGCCGAGTGTGTCCCTGTCGAGGGACTGCTGTACATATCATGTGATAGGACCCTGTGACTCCAGGTTCTAATGCCTAGTGTGTCCATGTCGAGGGACTGCTGTACATATCATGTGATATGACCCTGTGAATCATGGGTTCTAAGGCCTAGTGTGTCCATGTCGAGGGACTGCTGTACATATCATGTGATATGACCCTGTGACTCCAGGTTCTAAGGCCTAGTGTGTCCATGTCGAGGAACTACTGTACATGCCATGTGATAAGACCCTGTTAATCCAGGATAATAAAAAACAAAACATTTATGACTTTATATCTTGTTTTTTAAAAAAAATGGACGGTTGCTTCCTGATTCTAACTGGTAGCTTCTTGATATAGCTGTCAGTGGCTAAGTAGCTTACTTGATATTGTCCAATCTCAATATCCTCTGACACATAAGATATTTATATCTAATTCTTAATTGTTTCGTGCCTTTGTCTCGTCTGCTCAGGCAATATCCGAAACGTCTTTTTCATTGTCCCATAGAAATACTGGGAGGGCTGCCTTCAGTTTGAAGCAATAAGAGAGATACAAAGGGCAAAGGGAAACCTGAAGAATAACAATAATGTATATATATATTTTTTTAATTTCTCTGTCTTTTTATTTCAAGCCTAAACCAAAAATATTTTTTTCTCCAATAT